CTTTTCATTGTTTATTTGTCAGATTAAGAGCAATGGCTAGACTATACCAACCACTAGTGTCAGGTGGATTCTGCAAGGAAACAAATGGTCTAAATTATTTGTTCTCCTCATATTTGTCATTTGCAGAGGCTTCAAGATGTCTCACATGCTTATTACTTGATCTTGTCCCGTGCATATTCCATAGAGAAAACAGAATGATTGTGTCCGTTTTATGCAAATGGGAATTTTATTAGGCAAAACACATGAATATGGATGGTATTATCAGAGGCCACGCCTTTTGATTTTGTCCCTTCTACATAAAATAACCCCTCTATATAAAATGTCTATTTTTTTTTCCCTTCTAGTTTGCCACCGAGGAAGGTACGTGTCTTAGTCATATGGTCACACTCATATATTATATTTTGAATATGGAATAATGGAATCTCATTCAAATCTCTTTATGATTGTATGTGACATTCGACAAGAAAATGTTACACACTTCACGTGTACTCTATCATATTTGCAATTACATTACGAATTTTGAAGGGTGTTAAATGCAGGTGGTTGTGATGCGGGTTGCAATTCATTGTCAAGGATGTGCTGGAAAGGTGAAAAAACATCTGTCTAAGATGGAAGGTATTCATCAAAGTATAGTTATATACCCTTATTCAAAATGTAAAAATCAATAAAATAAATAAATAACACTTAATCATATATTCAAGAACATCATATATTTTCATATTCTGAAATAAAATTTATATATAGAATATGCTCTAAGAACACTAGATGCCCACTTTACCTTATTAAATGGGAAATATTGTGTTCAAGAAAATTTGGGGTTGCGCCAAATGACTAAAAATTATACTTGATGTTCTAACATTTTTTTCTTTTGTTTTGTTTTTTTGTTTTTAAAGGTTCTAACGATTTTAAACCTACAATCTCAGGAGTTACATCATTCAGTATAGATGTAGAGTCTAAGAGGGTGACAGTGATGGGGCACATTTCTCCAGTGGCAGTCCTTGAGAGCATTTCAAAGGTGAAAAGGGCAGAGTTCTGGACTGCTTGTTAAAGCACTTCAGAGTACCTTAAAGGCCAGCACATGATACGCAGAGCCAGAATCATAATGTTAGAAAATTGCCTTAGCCATTGCATTTGTTAACAACTTTATATGGAGGTGGACCTGGTGGTCCTCAACACTATAAAATTAGGGAATAGGGTGGGTAGAAAACTGCTCTAATGACTTGGTTCTGGTAGTGATTTTCAATGACAATTTAATGTATCTACCCCCCATTTCACTTTGCAATTTCTTTCTTTTATGGCATTCTAATTGTAGCTGCAATGCTTAAAACCATTGTGAGCAAAAGCTGTTTCACTCCATAACTTTGAATTTTCTTTTCTTTCACTATTTCTGAAAATTTCCATAAAAGAATGCCAGAGAAAGATGACAAAATATAGGTCTCAGTCTCATTATGCAATGTCTCGGCTGTTTAATTTGTCTTATGCCGAATACAATAATAACTTGTGCTCATACGGTTAAATAGACTTGTCATATTTATTCATATGGTTACGTAGACTTGTCATATTTATTCACCAAGGACAACTTTGTTAAATTTTAGCATTATGCCATCGACATGCAGCAAGGTTTATGTAGCAGCCTTTTTGGTTAAAAGTTTTAGATAGACCCCTTTTAGATGTGGTGAAGTAATATTTTCCTAAAGTAACAAGAACATTATCGTCAAGTTGTAACTTAAGTAATGGCCCATAAGATGGGTGAATTGTGAACTCACACACACAACTTTAGCTACGTTAGTTGTCTTGGTAATTCAAGGGTTTGTTTATATAAGTTTTGATTGTTATTTACAAGCTAGACTAAGTTGCAGTACAACAAAATATTATTTGTGAATTGTTACCAACCGCTCGATGCAGCAAAACTACGTACATGAGAAATCACTAATGAGTGTTTGCTTAGATTTTAGGACTCCAAGAAGATTTATAAAGAGACTCGAGAGTGTAGATTGGTTGACTTAGTTGAATGAGCCTGATAATGATTCGTTAAAATTTGCATAAATTTGACACGGCTGGCTTATAGAGATGCACAAATGGATAGAAACCCAATATTTAATATCTTAAGAAAATGTCAAAAAGCTAGTTTATGATATACTGCAGAGTTGTAGAAGCAAATTAATGCAACCTCACCTTTTATAATATTATTAAGGCTTAATTACAGTTTTGATCCCTCAATTATTGTAATTGTAAAATTTTGATCTCTAAGATTTTAATTAGATAATTTTAGTCCTTAAGGAATTGAAATTGTGCAATTTTAGTTCTTCAATTTTTAATTAAACAATTTTAGTCTCTCAAATATCATAATTGTGCAATTTTAATCTCTCCTATTAAAAATATAATAAATTTAAAATTTTAATATATATATATATATATATAATATTTTAAAATTATACAATTATTTGCTTATTTAAGTTAACGCATATTGTAATTTTTGCTAATGTAGCAAATAATATATATTTATTATTACTAAATAAATAAAATTTATATATTATTAATATTTTAATATTGCTAATAAATTAATATCAATAATATTTTTAGTATATTTATAGATAAACTAATAATTTGATAAATATAACTTAGTATATATTAATATACTTTTACAAAAATATAAATATATTAGATAAGATATGTATATTTCTAATTAATATACTTATATTTTTGTAAAAGTATAGTAATATATAATAAGTTATATTTATCAAATTATTAGTTTATCTATAAATATATTAATAATATTATTGATATTAATTTATTAGTAATATTATAAAAATAATAATATATAAATTTTATTTATTTAGTAGTAATAAATATATATCATTTGATACATTAATGAAAATTATAATATATGTTAACTTGAATAGACAAATAATTGTATAATTTTAAAATATTGTATATATATATATATTAAAATTATAATTTTTAATGAGAGAGATTAAAATTGCACAATTATGATATTTGAGGGACTAAAATTGTTCAATTAAAAATTGAAAGACTAAAATTACACAATTACAATTCTTTAGGGACTAAAATTATCTAATTAAAATCTTAGTGATCAAAATTATACAATTACAATACTTGAAGGATCAAAATTGTAATTAAGCCTATTATTAATAAACATGTTTACGCATCTGTACTGGTATTAGAAATTTAACTAATGGATAATGTTGTTGTTACAAATTAAAATATTACCTTAACAGAGACTCTTATTGGAGTCTAACTCGGTGGTCGAATAAATTATGTGAGTTTATTATTTTCGATAAATGTATTAAAAAAATATATAATTGTTATTAAAGAATTAAAATTTTACCGAACAAAAATATCACAGGAGAGATTTAAAATCTAACATATGAAGGAGGAGAATTTCAACGGTAATAATCAAAAGAAGGTCTGCAAGTAATTGTGTTTAGTTTGTTTTGCCTAATTGTAAGAATTATTTGTTATTTTTATTGGAAGCTATCTTGTATTCACTATATTAAAATTAATTTTTTTGTGGTAATTAATTTATTATTTAGCGGTTATATAAGTAATTATTATTATTTTTACTAGCATTTAAATAAAGGCTGGTGTATGCAGTGTCGCTAATACTATTACTGGTATTTATATAAAATACTGGTAAAAATTTACTAAATTACCGGAAAAACTTATTTTTTTTAGTGGCAATTCTAGTAGTCATTTTAAAGGTTATTAAAATTTATTTTTTTCAATTGTCTCCTTTACTTTAAATAATTTATTCCTATAAATGTGAGATTTATAAGGTGAAAGTTGCTCTCTAATTATTTTATAACACTATTAAATTTGGTAATAATGAGTGATTTGATACCAATTTAGAATAGTGAATTAGGAGTCAACCCTATAAAATGAACATGTAAGGTGATAACTATTACTCACTTATATACTATTTCATTATTTTATTTTTAATCGATGTGGGACTTAAATTTTTTCTAATAAATAATTGTCATTAATAGTAAATTTTAGTGTAATATAAATACATTTTTAGTGACTATTATATATTAGCCATTAATATTTTTATATATGGCGGCAATTAAATTATTGTCATTAAATAATTATCGTTAATAACAAATTTTGTTGTAGTGATTATTTGTTAATAATAAGAAGAAAAAAAATAGTCTAGACAACTCTTAATATTTACTCTTATATTGAGGTTGAGAGTTTTTAATGTTAAAAATTTGTATCTCTTGTACATTTGAATTATTTATTTCTGTTCTATTTTATCAGTATTTTTTACGTATTTTTGTGTAAAATTCTATAAATTATTGATCCTCTTTATTGAGTTGTTGTTAGTGTGTTGCATTTTCTTATCAGAATTAAAAAAAAATCCCCAAAAAAAATGAAGCCATGAAAACATGTCTAATTACAAAAAAAAAAAAATGTAAAGAAGAAGGAGAACAAAGATGAGGAAGTGATGACGATTGTTCTAAAAAAATAGGAGTAGCTTTGAAGATGGGTTCTTCTAAAAAGATGACAGTAAGGTAAATCTAGAACAGGAACAATGACGAAGATGAGAAAGAGAATGATTCCGTAATGTGATGAAATGAGGATAATAAAAAGGAAGTATTTGGTATAAAAGAAAACGAGAGTATATGAAAATTTAAAAAATAAAAAAGCAACGGTAAGAAAAGCCTATAAGTTAATGCAAATATTGGTGTATATGGAAAAACCCACTTATAATTGCTGAAATTTGGATATCTGTGCTCTTCTCATTACATATATCTTCTACTGAGCCAACTAATTGAATCTTTACCTTATTACCGAACCTTACGACTAGAAGAACTTGAACCTGCATCTCCTGATGCTTAAATCATGAAATGGTGTAAAAAAAAATCATGAAATGAAAATGATTGACTTTGTAGCGTATGAAAAAATGGCAAAAAATTGAATGAGTTTTTTTTATATATATATTGATGCATATATATTATTGTAATAAAAAATATTTTTATTATAATCACCAAATATTATGTTGAAATCTTGCATTATAAATTTAATCACGTTATATAATCACGTATAATTTTACATATTAATTATATAACAGTAGAATATACATATATAAATGCAAACAATTTCTAAGTGCATGTATCAAAAATAAATTCAACGAATGTAGCAAAGGAAAAAAAAATGTATTCAACGATATTAATTAATTAATAACATATGATCTTAAGAAAATGAATGCCTCCCTTTCATGTTTTGTGTCCTCATTCTGGAGGTACTACCCCATGAACATGACCCCGACCCCCCTTTGTGCCCCATACGTCTTCGAGACCTTGTCTTCAACTCAATCACTTCCTCATGCAACCCACTTCCCCATCTCTCATGATCATCACTACCAACATTAATATTCATGACCACTTTGCTTCTCAAGCCCAATTCATGGTCGTACTGTGCACGAAGATTTGGATTGGACAAGGTCTCGTATGCTGCATTTAGTTGCACAAACATCCTCGTTGACTCCTCTTTCATCGAAGGATCATGGCACACATCAGGGTGGTACCGAAGAGCCATTGATCTATAAGCCCTCTTAATCTCATCCATTGTTGCACTTCCTGGACTCACGGACAATATTTTGTACAAGCTTTCTTGTCTTGTGGCTCTGCATGAAACGGTGCCAAACCTTACATTAGAGCCTCTTTGCTTGTTGTGGCCGTGAAATTGAAAGGGCATGGACATGCTTAGGCTTGAACTTGAGCTCAAAGATACAACATCCATGTTGTATATAGTTCTTGTTAATTGTACCTATTTTTGAATGAGTGTGGAAAATGGATGTGGATTCACTTATTAATAGTTGCTATGGGGTGAGAAGGAGCCTAGCATGGGGATGGCTTTGGACACGTGTGATAATAACTGCTATTATTTAATGTTGATTATTTTGTGCATGTTAGTGGACCAATATTTCACGTTGAAATGTCAAACAAAAATTAAGTATTGGGTTATGAATAAGACTTTTCCTGGAGCAGCCTGTCATCATTCAGAAGATACCTAGCTATGACTAATAATGTATTTAAATATATAATCTTACCCTCTTAATATTGTATTAATTGAATTTAATAGGATATTTTTATTAATAAACAAATTAATTGGTAATTTTTGTTTGTTAAATTTATTATAAGTATAAGTTTTATTTTACAAATTCATCATCAATATTTAAAGACGAAAATATAATTTTTTAAAAGTTATTATTTAGATTAAAAAATTATTTTATATTTAAAAATATTTGTTTATTTTATATTTATGAGAACAAAAATATATTTAATAGCATGTAAAATATGGAGAAAGAGTAAAATGTGACGAAGGTACTAGCAACCATGTTTGACTGATAGAGTTGATGTTAGTAGTGTTTGTTTCTGAATTTGGTATAGTTAGCAGAGGGTCAAAAGCTGTGTATTTTGATAACTTGGATAAATGCAGTGTATCTGCACGATGTAGTCCACCTAGTATTTTCCTAGTAAATAACATATTTTAACTAAATTGATTAGAGTTTAAATTTTAACTATGAATATAAAATAAATTATGTTGAAAAAAAATATTTATCTTAAATACATTTGGATTTAAAAGAAATAAATCATTAATTTTAATAGTAAATATATGTTTCATAATCAATTGAATCAAACAACTAGATTATTTATATATTGATGTCTTAATCAAATTCAATTAAAATTTTGAGTATAAGTGTCATTCTTAATTGATAGTCAAACATTGTTGGCTTATCATGACCAATTAAAAAGTGTGTTCTTGCATTTAAACACTGGCGTTGACCCTGACAGCAACGCTACTAAGGGCAGAGAAGTCCACACTAGTCTAACGCAGAGGTTCAATTTTTTAAAATAAATTGAAACTCCTTAGTGTTGCTTTAAACCATTACTAATTTTAATTAGCATCACTGTTGTATTGGTCTATGTTAATGCTAAAATGATCTTTAAAAGGGCATCTTGTGGTTAAATACATACTACTTGATAACTAATGAGTTATTGATATCACCATTTCAAAGAAACTACACAAGTTTAAAACCCAACAAACGTAAATGATTTTTGTCATACTAGAATCACGAGTAATACAATGATTTTTAGTAAGGTTGTTTAAAACCCAACAAACGTAATTGAAAAATTGTAAATTGATAAAATTAAAAATTAAAAAAAAAACTTAAAATCAATATAAAAAAATTATAAATTAATGATTTGGTTCGATTTTTTAAATTTTAAAATCACACGGTTTTAATCTAATTTTTGAATTGAAATGAGAAATCATTTCAAACCAAACTAAACCACACATACTTGTAAAAACAAATTTCAAATGTATAATATATGTATCCAAAATTGACATAGGAAAGATAATTTATAAAATTATAAACTATTAAAAAGTGTTTTCTCTCCAAATATACGTTATAATATTTAACAAGATTAACTCTTTCTTTGATCTTAAATTCAAACTTTGGTACCATCATTGTAATTCTAATAGATAAATAAAATAAAATAAAAAACTCTACCTCACATTGTTGCATACCCAGAATTCAAAATCTAATAATTACATATTATTTTGATTATGTAAAATATTATTTATAAGTATTAATTATTTAGTTTATCTAATATGCCTAACTTGTTTTCAAGTATACTCTTTCAAACAAACTTTTTTATTTAAAATTATAAATACATAATAGAAATTCATCAATTAGGATGTGTATCTTAAAATTTTATGATTTTCAATGATTACATTTAATAAAATAGAATGTATTGAAAAGAATATGCTCCAAACATTTCTCTTAACTCTTATAAATATGTGAAAATAGTATATTTTAATCCTTAGGCATGCAAATTATGTGTGTTATTATCCCCTAATACTAGTTTAAATTTGAAAACTTAATTTGAGTTGTTGGTACAAATTTCAACGAATTATTTGTTGAATTAAAAGTTTTACACACTTAAATCAAGTTTGAAAATTTTAAAAATAAATTATTTGATACTTTATTTTATTCATTTAAATTAATATATAATAATAAAAATATTTTATATGATGATATCAATCTATATATTAAGAAAATTTAATTTAATAGTTAAATCGTTAAAAGTTTATGTAGAACATGAGTTATTCAGTAGAGTAAGACTAATGAGACACTTACTTTTTGGATAAGTAGATCATTACTCAATTCTGCCAAACAATTCTTTTCTATTTGAAAGGTTGTAACTAACTTGGAGGTTTTGATGGGAGATTGCCAAGAAAATTGGAGCTAGTTCCAATAAAGAATTTATAAACGAGGAAGAGGAATTCAAGATGGGAAAGATGCAAGGCTTGCCAAAATTAGGGATGATAGAATGGGTTTTCAAAGTGGGTTGTCTCATTAGCTCTGCTAAAAACTGATGAGTTGATTTTAGCATTTTAGTTCGTTAGAGAGGAGGAATGATCACAAAATATATGGGACACGGATTAGAAGGAAAAGCTAGTTTTGAATGAGAAAAATACGAAAATACGATTGTTTTTACATAGTTTAATTTTATTAGGGACATTTATGTCTTTTAGACATTTTGAACTTTCTTTCGAACAAATAGCTTATAAAATCGTTTTATTTTCTACTCTACCTCATGTTTTGAGTAACTTAAATTTCAAAATCCATACCCATCCCACCAACTCCTGACCAATTTGTCCTCATTGACGTTTATATTATGGGCCACTCACTGTAGTAGAACACCACGAACAAATGGGCCACCCAACCTTAGGCCTGTCATGCACCCTCTATTTTTTTTCTTCAATTTTTAGTTTTCTATTAATTTACTTTTTCATAAATTAGTTTTTAGACTTTACTCTTATTTGCCAAGTAATGACATGCGTTAATAAATTATAACCAACTCAACTATTAATACCCAGATGAGTACTTAATAACATATAACAAATGTAATTTTATTATTTATTTATGATTATATAAATAAATATTTGTTTTAACATATTTTATTTTAAAAAAAAATAATGTATGACTATAAATAAATAAAAAAATTATATATATTATATGATTTGACATTTATTAAATAGTTATATAAATAATAATAATAAAGTCAATCATTATTTATTAATATATATTGTAAATTAATAGAGAAGATTTAACTCTAAAAACTAATTTATATGATAAAAAGTTAATAAAAAAATTAAGAACTTAAAAACGAATTCTTAAAAAGTTAGAAACTAAACACTTATTTAACCGTTTCTTTATTTTGGCATATATCATTATATGTGAGTCCTATACCAAAATTTTTAATCTCCGAAAAATGTGCGGACATTTATGAGTAAAGTGTTTCCTTAAAGATTTTCTGCATTATATACGTGTCAAAATTCAAATCCTTGACCCCATTTTTAAAGTAGAAGATGAACCAAACTTGTTGACAACATTTTGTTCTGTTAAAGCTTTACTAGAAAAATAATAAAATGAAGCATTGCATTCGCTTTCTTTTTATGAAGCACGCGCCGAACGCCTTTCTGCGCATACAAAGGACCACCGCATGGCAGCAATCATTTCCAAAACTTGTAAAGCTCATATCTTGATACAAAGCTAAAAGCTTACTATTGCTCCTATAATTTATCATAAAAGGCTAAATAAAAAAGTTATAGAGGAAATAAATATGAATGTTAATATTTTTTCATTGCTGTTTCATACACTTAAAAAAAATACATATTTATAATCTAATAGCTATTAAAAATGACTTAGATGTATCATTATCTTATTTTAAAGAATATAAAATAACAAAAATTAAACATAATAATATTCTAAGATCATCCTTTTGCATCTCATTTAATTTTCTTTTTTTGAGTTTAATATGACAATTCGTTATAATTGTTACACTTTGTGTAATTATTAATAAGCACTGAAAACTTACTACTTAGAGACATACATTTAAAATTACGTGAATATGTATTATATAACATGCATATATGTGAAAGAAAAAAAAATAACTATACAATGATAAATAATATAAGTACAATTATTCGTAATAGTCAAATATATGACCTAAGTGTTAATCAAACAATACTACCATAACATGGTAGCACAAAATATTCAAAAACACCATCCACTTAAAGACCTCCATGGAAGTTCTCTGCAATCTATCCATACCTTGCTCTCATATCATGTATCATTATCACAGTTCAAACCACATAGAAACAAGTATGGTAAGCTAGATTTCAAAAAAATACAAGTATAGGAAAAAAAATATCTATAATACTTACCCAGATGCAAACCTTCAAACTAATAACACAAGGTTTACAACATACAACAATCCTTATAACAATAATCAGTTTGAAAGCTACACGCCATGTAAATATCATACAATGAGCTGTTCAACCAATGCATAAGAACACACCAATCAACAACACATCATATGCATCCACCTCAATTAATGCATCGTCACACATTCACCTATAGATATCTCTTAATACACCTAAGTAATATAAGTAGATTGACCCTACCAAATCAACTAATCATCTCTACACTAGATAGACACATCAACCCGATCATCTCTAGAATAGATATACTCATCGACCAAATTGGATTTACAATCCCAACATGATTTCTCGAATTTTGTCACTTACACTAGGAAAGTTTGATTTCATAGTCAAGAATAATATAATTGGGTATACGCGTACCATAACCTTGACATGTATTACTAAGTCACATATGGAGTTAGTCCACTAATTATTCACAAGGAATCACATAACATTTCGAGTAATCAATTAAGGGTGATAGCCCTCGATTTCAAATCTTATTCTACATTGGCTGAGGACCTAAATGAGACTCCACAAAATCTACTTTAAGAATTTCACACCTTCTTACGAAGGGTTTTAACCATTGGCCTTTTAGAGCGCCAAAATAAGATTTCCTATGTAGGATCTTTAACTTTCTAAACAACATCCCTTTCCCTAATCCTAAGTCAATCAATATGATTTAATGCTCATAGCATTCTTAGCATCAACACCTCAACATATATCCTCTATATATATTACCCCAAGTAAATGTACACAAAGATTAAATCATACCATTTATGTATAGCATACCAATGTTTAACAACTCATCCAAGTATAGTATACTAATCATACATAGTATATCAATGTACATCATCATTTTAATTACACAAATATAGCATACTAATGCTTATAGTTATCATCTTACATTACACAACATGCAATAAGCTTAAGCATTCTATTCATGTTCACCATACATCATTTAATCATTAATAATTAAATCATCATCACACATTATCTCATATCAATGTATAATCAACATACAAGGCATTAGATTAAACCTTCATACAAACATCCAACTCATACAACAAAGAGGGAATCCAACGCTTCAAGAGTCTAAGATTCTCGCTCCAAGTGACACAATTTCGCTTTAAGCTCTAAGAAACTCACTTTGAGTGAGCTTAGACAGAGAACACCCCTTAGAGTCTCACTTTGGTTGCTTCAAACGACATCACCCTCACTCTAAGTGATTGAATTCGCTCAAAATGTTCCTTAATTCGTTTTAAGTGAGCAAAGTCAAGGACTACCCTTGAACTCCCACCTCAACTCACTTTGAGCTAGTGAGTCCTTGATCGCTCTAAGCCAAAACTTGCTCTAAGCAATCACAAATTTGCTCTAAGCAAACCAAGTTAAAACTCACCCATACCCTAGTCACACCTACTCGCTTAGAGCGATCCCCATGGGCGCTATGAGTAAGCAAGCCTATAAACCTACATATTTGAAGCTCAAGAACACCAACCCTGCAAAACACTTTAATAATCCAAAAATCCACCAACCCATACATCAATTCATGCATGTAACTCAATCATTCATACATATATCTTTCCAACAACTCATTTTGCCCCAAAACCACCACATGTAACAACAAGGTCTTTCAAAATCATCTCAGTCACCTCAAAAACATCTAAAACCCCATTTCATCATTCACTAAATAAAATAACTATACATTCACACATGATTTGAATCAATAGCATGCAATTCAATCATTTCATTCACTATCAATCTTACCTTCCTTTACCTCAACAATTTCACCAAGATGATGAGGATAAGAGAAAAAGGGAATCAAGCTCTCCGAAGAACTCTGTACAGCACCAGAGTATATTCAAGCTTCTAAACGTGAACTAAGACACACAAGACGAGATAAGAAATCTCAGGAAAAGGATCCACCAATCAAGAAAAGGTTTAAGGAGAAGGAAAGACTCATAGAATTAGAGCTCCTCTCTCTAAACTATCTCTCTAAAAAAATTTAGAACTGAACTTATGAAGCTCAATTGTAAAAGAATACCTTATATATTGCCTCCTATTAGGATCAACCGAAACTCTAGCCAAAAATCCTTACAATATCTAGGTACAATCTTACACCTAAAGCCCATACTGACATTATTGACAACTCCACCAAAAACTTGTCCTTAATGTTCTAGGATAAATTTGAACCAATGAAAAAATATCTATCTAAGAAAGTTTAAGTCTTAAAAAATTTGTCTTAAAAAATTTGGTAGTCAGCATTATGTCATGGAGTGGATGTTGTGGGGTGTTGGCCAAGAATGGGAATTTATGAGCAATAGGGCATGGTAAATCCAATACAAAATTGGAATTATTGGACAACAAAGTGACAATTGTCTTGGTAAAAGGTACGACTAATTTTGAGTGCACAACGCACCAGGCTAGGGGAAATGGGTTGTGGGAAACCAAAAGTTTAACAAATAGAAAATTTTGGACACATGTACAATGGGGGTTGGGTTAGGGAACGTGCAAAAGACGGAGTAATGCATCTTCATACAAATTAAATTGTTTAAGAGGAGCCATCTACAAAATTTTGGGACCATAATTTTTCTCACCATGTGTGCTCATTTTAGATTGGATATAAGACTTTGAAAAAGGTATGATGGGTTTTGTAAGGGTAGTTGGTTGACAAAAATTTGAAGCTGTTGATTTTTTTGTTGAATTGTTGGTATTGGAATATGTTGTTGGGGTTGGGGTTAGACATAATGGGGTTGAACTAAGGGGTAAGGATAAGGATGAATTTGAGACTGAAGTTGGGGCTAACCATAGACCTGCTAGTAGTGCAAAACTATAGACCGATGATATGTGTAATAATGTTGATATTGTTGTTGATATGAACCATGTCCAAGGTATTGCTAGTAGTATTGTTGGTATGGAACTTGTCCATGGTATTGTTGGTAATATTGGTGATATTGTAGTTGCTCTTGATACCAGTGTTCTGTGGTTCAGTGAACAAAACCTTGGGTTTAGGAAGCAAAGTTGTTAAGCGTATTTTGCAAAGAAGCATACCATGTGTCATCCAGATGACGTTGGTCAATATTCGTTTGTTAAACTTCTAGTTGCTCAACAAGGATATGGAGATGGTCTTCTATGATGGGGAATTGGGTGTGGGACCGGAGTAACCTGATGAAAGCACCATTTGATAAAAACCTAATATTATACTATCACTACTCCTATAATATTACAAGAAAGCTATGGAGAAGATAAATACAAACATTGATATTTCTCATTAAAACCTCATAGACTAAAACAACTACATATGTATAACTTAATAACTACTAAAAATAACCCTACATATATCATCATCTTATTTAAGGAAATATAAAATATTAAAATTAAATACAATAATATTCTAATAATCTAAACCACTAACAAACTCTGTCATTTAATTTTCTTTCTTTTAGACCTAAAGTCCGTGCTAACATATCAAAAGCACAAAAAAGGCATATTCAATTGATAGTTTAAAGTATTTTGATTTTAACAATGTGGCGTGGCAATACAAACTAGAACACCGGAATATGACTATGGTTGCAAGGAAAGCATATATGATTAGGTCCATTATTTAGCTACATTTGTGCTTAATCAAGGAACTAGGACCCATCGTGTGGAGTTAATAATTTTGCAAAAACAGGTGGTTGTTGAGACTATGAAAAGTGAAAAACCCCGATTGAAAAGAAGTCTCCCGCACTAACCGCTAGTGCTCATACACCATAGCATGTCGTCCCTTGTGACATTGGCACATGTACTAATCGATTATCACAAAAAAAAAAAAGATAGCAAAATAATATTGTAATTCATATGGTAATATATATAAATATAAAAAGAGGGTACAAGCTCAAAATAAGTTCGAGTCACTCCCCAGAATGAATTTTATCTACTTAAGTCAAACATAGAATGAGAAGAGCTCCAATGGTAAAACCCAAAGAAACATCAAAATAGTCCCTCATGTCATGTCTCTACTCTTGCAATGGAACGAAACTCATCTCAGAAGCCTGAGAATGCAGCTACCATTATGCATACAAGCAAGGATCCAGCTGAAAATGGGAACGACGCTGATGCTGTGTTCCCTTGAGCTGGTGCTGGTACTGGAGATACCTCATTCACAGGACCATTCAAACCAGGAGTTGAAGCATCAGATGATTGAGGAGATGGAGTAGTTTGTGGAGAGAGGCCTACAGCTACAAAATAAATAATAATAATTCAATTAGAAACACCACCAATATCAAACTGGTTAAAAATATTCATACAACTAAAATTAATGATAAAGCATAAAAAAAATTACAGGACATATTGATAATATTTTTTGGTTTTCTAATTTTTGTATTTATGTCCCTCTTGAAGAACTTACATTTCAGAACTAACAAAGGAGAAAAATTATAGACTGATTTCATCTTGTAATCTCCAAATAATAGTAAAAATTATAGAAAACTAATTTCATCTTGGCATAGTCTAATGACTTAATTATTTACATTTCTTTACATTACTGACAAAATAATCAACAAACCCATATAGCCGTTTAAATTATTGAAAAATCTTTAAACCAGCAATATAATTAGCAGAAATTCACGTATCAGTAGAATTGGTAGGCAGACAGACCGTCCAAATAAACATGACAATTCACAACTATAATATAATCATATGTAGTTTAAATTATCCACAGCCAAAGAAGACATATATGGTTCTTATCGTTAAATGGCATAAAATAAAAAAGTGAGAAACATACCAGGAGCAGCAGCAGGCGCTTCAGACACTGCAAAGCAAACAGAAACAAACACGGTTACTGACATGAACCGAGAAAGGGAGAAAAATCGAAAAACAAATGACAAGATCCGAAGTTCAAAACAAAAAAAAAAACTCGGGACAAGTCATGTAGGACCATGATCGATGCATAAAAATGAAACCTTTGATGAACCCAACACTCTTAAAAAAAAAAAAAAATAAAAGGTTAAAAGGCAGAATTGAGTTACATACATAGACAGTTGGTGGCAGAAGGAGCGATGACTTTGCAAGCAGCGGGGAGAGTGGTGGCTTTGGTGACATTCAAAACGACGCCGAACTGAGCGCTGCTTTTGAAGGCCTCACAGAGACAGGCGGGAGCGGTTTTGAGGACGGACTTGAGACCGGAGCAGCAGGTGCCCTCGGGCTTGGTGACGGTGCTGCCGTTGGTGACGAACGACAAGCAGTCCGCCATGGTGAGCACGATGTTGGAGCAATCCACGGAGGGTGCCGGGGCGTGTGGGGAGGACGCGGCGTCAGATGGAACGACGCCCCACAGGGCCAAAACGCAGAGAATCAGAGACAGTTTTGTTGCTGCCATTTGGAAAGAGAGTGAAGTGGGATTGTGTTTGTGGGAGTGAGTGAGGCACTTATATAAGAGAGCCAAGCCAGACCACCAATCAAGGACATTATTTACTCACTATATGTTTTTTTTTTAGTATTTTAGCTATGTGATTTTGGTTTCGATAATTTTAGATTATACTAAGTAATTTTAGTCTTCAAATATCTCAATTATGAGATTTCCATCCTCCAAAACTTAATTACATTATTTTACTTCCTCTTGTAATTATACAATTTTAACATTTTTCATTAACATCTAATAATTTTTAAATTATATATATAAATTTTTAAATTATACATTTGTTGACCTAAAATTATATATAATATAATTTTAATTCATATATTAAGTGATATATATTGATTATCACTAAATAAATAAAATTATATATATTATAATATTATTGATAAATTAATATTATCAATAATATTATTATCGTATTTATAGATAAATTATTGATTTTATAAATATATACTAGTATATATTAATATATTTTTTTAGAACATTAATATACTTTTATAAAAATATATAAATATATTTGATAAGATAAATATATTTTAAAAATTTAATTAAAAACATTGATATATCATATCACATGTTAGAATCACATCAATAAAAATTATTGAATTTTTAACGTGAAAGATTAAAATTGTACAATTGTAACACTTGAATAATTAAAATTATTCAACTAATAATCAGAATATTAAAATTGTATAACTATAATACTTGAGAGATCAAAAATATATTTAAATTTAAATTATATTTTTTTAACCCTATGTTTATAATTTATAATTTTATTGTTTAATTATTTTTTTTAATTTTAAAAATATAAAATTTTAGTTTTACAGTTAATTTAACGTGTATAGACAATTAAATTTTTGCATTAACCAATGATATATGAGTGGCATGTTATTAAAGATCGAAGTATATAATTATTTTATTTATATTTATTCTAATAAGTAATTAATATTTATTTATTATTAAATTTTATTTATATTATTTTTAATTTCATTTCTAAATATCATATTATTAAATGTTATCTTAGTTAAATAATAATGTCATGGATTAATATTGAAATTTAAGATCAACAATGGTTATTGATTACAAGATTAATTTATTTCTTTAAAATTAGATAAGTAAATATTTTTATTTAAAAATTGAAGAATAAAAGTGTAATTTAACATGCAATAATATAAAAGTTTTGAGGAGTTAAATATACACATTTTAACATATATTTTCAATAGAAATTTCTTTAAATTTATAAAAATTATAATTTTAACTAATAATAATAAACTGTAAAAAAACTAATAATAATAAAGAGTATAATTAAATGAAAGTACAAACTGATTTTTCATTCAAATAATAAAAGTCTTCATTGTAAAAAAAATAATAATAACAGTATTCTTGTAGAATGTATTTAATGTTGGTTAAATGAGTATAATCATTGTTGAAAAGGTTGACTGGTTACCGGTTTCTTGAAAATCATTTGAAAAAAATTGAAAAGTTGCATCTTTACGACTTGCGAGAGTTATGGTGGACAGCGAGAGAGGTACCTTTTAAAAGGAAAGTGTTGAAGCCGAGTTACCTTGACACGTGGCCATAACATCGAGTGAGATGCAAAATAAAATAAAATAAAAATTATAAAAATTATAATATATAAATAAAATGATTACAACATAAGATTATAATTATTACTCATAAAATGAATGATAATTAAATTTTTTATATTTTTTATTTAATTTTGAAAAATTGTGATAATAGAAAAAGAATTAATATATGATAAAAATATATAAATATTTAAAATATATAAAAATTAAAATATATATTTTCTTCATATACACCGTAGATAATTAAATTAATATTTAAGAAAATACTAAAGGATGACTTTTTAAATGCAATAATGTCAAAAAATTTATTCTTCTAAAATGTAATGTATCTCATTTGAAGGTTGACTTCATTTATTTAAATTTTAAATTTTATTCATTTTATCATTAATATATTATAAAATTAAATATTTATAATAAATTTTTTGAATGATTAATATAAAATGTAATTAATATTTTATAGATAATATTAATATAAGTTGACTTTTTATTCAAGTTTATGTGTTTTTTAAATATGAAATTAAAATTTGTTTAATACCCTATATAATTTTCTTTTTATCCGTGTAGTTTTATTTATAATTAATATTTTTAATATAACTAATATATTTTAAAATTAATATTTAATATTTTGTTTATATATTTATATAACTAATATTATATGCAATTTTATTTTCATTTATATTTTTTTTTGTTTTATAACTAATATTTTATATTAATTTGTATATAAAATAATTATTAATTTAGATTATGATTTTTTTGTTAAATTATTTATTTGAATTAAAAAATTTTATTTAAATTATTTAGTTGAACTAAAAAGATTTATTTAAATTATTTATTTGTATCATGATTTTTGTAACGACCCGGCTGGTCACCACACGCTACCCAACAACGACGGCATGCACACAGAAAAGAACAAGTATATACATATAGTATTTAGAATATATATACATATATACAAGGTCCAATCTGAGCTACATCAGAATATACAAATACAACCCAAAATAGCCAAACTAGTGGCCAAAACATCAAAACATTAGCAAAATAAAACTCCTCTATCTGCCAGCTGCAGTCCTGCCACTATCACCAACCTAACCCTACTTTGTTCCCATACAACGTATGATCATCACAGTCCAACACATGGAAACAACAAAGGGTAAGCTAGTGTAAAGAATCAACATATAAAACATATTTAAGTAATATGAACAGCTACAACTATCAGCACATCATCAGCATACATCTCATCAGTTAAACAGCATACACAGCAATAAGCACACAATGCGTCGTCACACATATCAGCTCGGAGATCTCCTACAACAGCTCAGCCTTATGGCCTACAACAGCTCAGCCTTACGGCCTACAACAGTTCAGCCTTACGACCTACAACAGCTTAGCCTTACGGCCTACAACAGCTCAGCCTTACGGCAATATACATCTATAACAGCTTAACATCATTATTCAGCATAACCATCTAGTCAGCACAACATTTTCATCAATTACATCTCAGCTCAGCAATTTCAGCATAATTCAACAACTATCAGCATATAGTTCAACATCATCATACGCGCCCGGCGCACTCATGGTCGCGCCCGGCGTGGCACAACCAGAGAGTACCAGGGGACCAGCGCGCCCGGCGCAATTCCTATTGCACCCGGCGTGAGGGAAGGCAGAGACCTCACGAGGTCTCATAAGCCCGGCGTGCTAATCCCGCGCTCGGCGTAAGAAAGCAAAGACCTTCCTAGGGTCTCACACCCGGCGCAATACAAATTGCGCCTGGCGCCACCTCTGGCAGAGACTCCCAAGGAGTCTCCACGCCCGGTGCCACACCAGAAACCAAAAGGGTGGGTCACTGACTGATAGCGCGCCCAGCGTGATCCAACCACGCCCAGCATGATCCAACCACGCCCGGCGTGAGCCATCTAGGGGCATCCATCTTCAAGCTCGCCCGATGCACACAACTTCGCGCCTGGCGTGCTTGACCAATGGAGCCCTCTGTTGGCCACGCGCCCGGCGCCAAGAATAGCGCCCGGCGTGCTCTCAATCAGAAACCCTACAACTTCGAAAATTTTGCTCAAAACCTGCATAAATCAACAGAAATTCCACATGCAAACCAGCCAAAATGCCACATTTTCATCAAACACCTCAAAAGTACCACCTTTTTACACATGCATCCATAAATCAAGGAAAACCCAAAATTTTCTCAAAACCCCAAAGACCCCAAAAATCCATTTTTCACCAAAACTCAGCCAAAATCAGCCAACACCAACAGTTAATGAGCTTCTAGAACTCATTTTCATCCAAAAATAGCGAAAAACCTAGTTTCCCTTACCTCGATGCAAGAATCCAAGCTTCCGAGAAGATGAAGACAATGAAGAAGAAGAAAAGAGCTTGAACGAACGGCGAAAAACAAGCTCGAGCAACCACGGAGGAGAAGAAAAGCTCTGAATCTCTTACTCAGTGGTACCACCTTGGGACAAGAAGAAAAAGAAGAATAAGAGAGTGAGTGAGAGTGAATCAGAGTTGAGAAAAGAGAGGGAGAGTTTTATGGGGGCCTCACAATTTTCATTTAAATTTATTTACTTATTTATTAAAAAAGATTATGAAGTTACTACGTGGATTAGCGATAAATTCCATATGGGCAACTGATAATGTACTATGTCCCGTACAAGAAGAATAGGTATAACCATACCACAAGTCGTAAAAATGTTTTAAATTTTTTAAAAGACTTTTAAAAATTATTCTTTGAATTTTATGGATTTATATCTTAAGATTTGAAAAGGTTTTATAAATTTATGATATGTAAAAAAATATTTTAAAGAATAATATGAATCTTTGAAAAATATTCGATGTTATAAGAATTAATAAAATAATATAATATAAATGGTAAAATTTGAATAAATAAAAGTAAAATCAAACATTTTTTTTAATTTTTTTAATATATAATTAATTGTAGCTTCATTTTCTTTAAATAACATTTTTTTCATATATCTAAAATCATAGTAAATTCTTTATACATTAACATACATCTTTTTGTTTGTGCTCGAGTTTAAACATGTTAAAATTTATGATTTTATTAATTAATAATTAAATATAAACACAACATACTATGCGAATATAATTATATAGTGATCCACAAGGATAAATCTAGAGGGGTAGGTAAGAGTCTTCTTATTATAAATTTCATCTCATGGTTTATAAATATAGAATATATCTATGTATAAAATTGTTTGAAAAATATATTTGAATAAAAAATTTATAGAAAACTTTTAACAAACACATAATGAACAATATTGTAAAGTTTTGATAGGTTTTTATTCATCAAAAACTTTAATTAATGCACTATATTGTTTGAAGTTGTGTATTTAAATAACTATAAAGGAAGAAAAACAAATTGATCCCCTTTGTCAAGATTT